TTCAATCCCCAGTACTCACACTCACAAATCATAAATTGATTTTATAATTAAGAAAGAAGAATAAACACAAATGAAGCAGTTGGCCCAGTCCAGAGCAGCAGCAATCAGTGACTCTTATGATTATACAGGGATCTGTTTTAAGCCAACATCTATACCTGCTATGAGGCCAAATAAGTCCTTCAGAGGTTGTGAGAGCCTGGAACGATGAGCCCCACACTCGGCCTCCTGCAACAGACAAGAGGATCCTGCCAGGAGATGGCAGCCAGTACTGCTGAGACCCAGCCCCTGGCCACCACAACCTGCAGGGGGTGAACAGGGCTTCTGCATGTGGCCATGTCTGTGAGGGAATGGCTCTCTGCTTTGGCATCACTTGGAAGGATGGACACCTACCTGTTACCATTTGCCCACAGGGCATCAGAGCCACCAAGGTGAGTGGGCAGATGCAGGGAGGTGTCCTTCTAGGAGCATGACACTTGTGTGGCCCCTGCATGCCTCTGGGACCAGCATACCTCTGACATCATCTTCTTTCTGGGGTGACTCAGTCCTCTCCCTCTCTCAAGTGGAAGTCACATTCATGCTGTTGCAGTGCCAGTGACGTCTCCATAGCAACATTCACACGGATGTCATAGAACATAAGGTGCTTGAGCTAGAAGGGTCTTCTGAGATCAGCTTTGCCTGCCCCCACACTTCAAAGAATGGGGAGCAGGCTCAGAGGGAGGATACCACGTGCCAAGGTCACACAGCAAGCCAGGGGCCCAGGTGCGGGGGGTGGGGGGGCTGCTCTTCGGATACTGTTCCACAGGACTGTCTTTTGGGGAAGTGCTCTAGGGGAACAAGGTTTGGGGACTATGCTACTATTCCTGCTTGCTACAGGACTCTGAAGTTCAGTCTGTCTGCTGCTCAGTCAGAGAGCTGTCCCTTTAGTACCTGGGGAGGGGTAGGAACAGGCAGTAAGGTGTCTATTCTCAGGAAACTCACAGGTTAAGTGTAGAGGCAGTGCAGCCCCCAGGGAACCACTGCAGAGCATCTGGGGAGCAAGAAGTACAGGCAGAAGGAGCCAGGGAAGAACAGCCCCCAGCAGAGCCTGGAAAGTCAAGGAGATGCTCATTCCTGCTGGTGCCTCTTCTCCCAGCACAAGGGTCAGCCAGAGGACCTAGCTCTGTGGGTAGGTGGAAAGCAGGGGTGAAGCTGGAGGGCTTGGAAAATGGGGCCACTAAGAAAAATTGCCTGGACCCAGACCAGGAGTCCCAGGAGGTTGTCATGGATGGCGATTCATGACACTTGTTATTCTAGGACAAGGTGCTCAGACACACAGAAAGACAAGTCAGAGGGCACAGTGTGGGAGCTGGCAGTCGTTATGAGGTGACTAGGAGTCTGAGTTATCAGGGTGGCAGGAGTGAGGATCCAGGAGTGAGGCCTCAGGAAGTTAGAACATGGACATGGGAAAGGTGGATGTTGATACCCTTTCCAGGGACACATGGTCCTCACTTTCCCCCTGTAGCTCAGCTCCAGACCCTGCCTCAGGGGCTCATCCTGGCCTGCAGGGCTCTTCTCTCCACTTCTGAAGATCCTGGGGATCTGGACTTCTCCAGGTCTGGCCAAGGCCACCCCACCCTCCCTACCTTTCCCATGAAGATGGCCCCTTCTCTTACTTGTGATGGCAGTCTACTCTAGTTATTTATGTATTCATTTTTGGCACTGGGGATTGAACCCAGGGACTCTTTATCATTGAGCTAAACCCCAGAACTTTTTATTTTGAAACAGGGTCTTACTAAGTTGCTGAGGCTGGCCTCCAATTTGCAATCCTGCCTCAGCCTCCCAAGCTGCTGGAATTACAGGTGTGCATCACTGCTCCTGGCTTGCTCTAGTTATTTGTTGCTGCATAAAAAATATCCCTCCAATAATCTGCAGGATGGGAAGACTCATCTCTTCTCTGTATGATGTCCTCTGAGGTTGGGGCATCTACCACCAAGCTGGCTTCTTCATTTACACAATGAGCAAATGAGTCCCTTTTCACTGGGTTTCTCAGCTGAGTTAATTGGGCTTTCTCCCAGCAGGGCATCCAGGTTCACAAAATGGCTATTCCAGGAGAGAAGAAGCTTTGGGTCCAGAGTCATTCTGCTATGTCTATTGGGCAAAGCAGTCACAACTCTTGCCCAGGTTTTAGGGCAAGGGACTTAGACCCTCTCCCTCATTGTGAAATACCAAAGGAACTGTCATCTCTAATTGACCCCAGCAGGCTGTCTCTACCTCATGGACTCTGTCATCCTTTCTCACCTCCAGACATGCAGACCTATATCTCCTGGAGTCCTCTCTGCCCTAGCACCTCTCCCTTGGGCCACTGCAATCCTCCTCAAAACCATCTTCCTGCCTGCAGGCTCCACCATCCATCCCCTCTGCCACTCTCCCCATTCCTGTAGCAGAGTGTTCTGTCTCTGTTGCTGTGTTCAAGAACTATGCATGGCTCTCTACTTCCCTTTGAACAATTTCCAAGCTCCTAGGCATAACTTTAAAATTTTGCTTACAATCTGGCCTCTCTTACCTTACCAATGTCCATCTACTGGCATTCAACCTGAGCATATGCACTCCCTCCTCCTGGTGAGTTTAATCTGTCCTCTCTCCACTTGAATATCTGCTCCACCTTCAAAAGCCAGTGCAAATTCCCTCTCCTCAAAGCCTTGCTCTTACTACATGATCACACCGGTCTTTCTCTCATTGCACACTGATACACATCCTGCCTTAAGTTCTTGTTAGCAATGAGATGTCCTCCTGAAGTTAGACCCCTGTTTCTAATTCACATTTATTTTACCAGTTTAATAACTACTTATTGAAACGAAGAGCCAGCTGCCAGAGATATGGCAGTGACCAAGACAGGCTGTTTCCTATGCCCAGAGAGCTTACATTCCAGAAAGGAAAACAGATGGCAAACAGAAGAGTCAAGAGACATAATGATCAAAGATTAGAAGGAGTGCTGAGAGGCATGAGAGTGGGACTCTGATGCAGGTACCTAGAGCTCCCATCTCTCAAGACAAACCAGCAACTTAGATTTTTACATAAACTCTCCTGATTTCCTCTCCTGCTTAAAGCTCCCTTCCTCTGCTGGCCTCCCACTTTCTCTGGCTTGCCTGCCTCCTTCCCTCTCCGCAGGTGCCCGCCCCATCAGCACTGTTCCACCCCCGGATGCCCTACTTGCAGGCCCGCTCCCAGAGCATCCAAACTCCTGTGGTTCCCATGCCCTGGGCATGCTCTGGGTAGTAGCTGGAAGGAAGAGTTAGGATGCACCACCTAAAACGCTGAGGCCAGTGGGCTTTGGCTGTTGAAGTCCCCAGCTGAGATCCTAGGCCAATCATCCTGAAGTTGGTCTTTTAGGGGTGGGACACCTGGAGTCCAATACTTTCACTCTAGGCCCACTTCGTAGATCTCTGGGCATTGGAGGGTGGGGGGCAGAAGAGGGAGACAAGGAAAGGAGACCTGGGGACCTCTAATAGTGCTTCTCTGGGTTTGCTCCCCAGCTGAAAGGTCCCTGAGGGGTGAATCTAGGCCAACTCTGTTGTGGGATTTTTTTATACTCTCTGGAGTCAGAGTTCCTAATAGTAAATCCTGGTTCTGTTACTTTCTAGGTGACTTTGGACAGCTCCCCTTGCTTTTCTGGGCCTTGGTTTCCCCATTTGTACCTTGGGGACCATAGCAGCTCCCATCTCACATACAGTTTTGAAGATGTCACATACCTGGCACATACATGATAGCACTCAGTGCTGGGCTGCTTTCCAGGCCTCTGTTGAACAGGTCATTACTAGGCCTTCTCAAGGAATTGCTGCTGGAGAGCATCCCGCCATCTGTATCTTGCCAGACCTCTGAGTTCCAGCTCCCAGAAGCAGCTCATTATTTGTGCTCTGGGCACTGCCAACTAGGAGGGCTCAGGCCTCTAAAGGACCTGGGATCCCAGTGACAGCTGCCATGCCTTGGGTCACAGCCAGGAATACCTCCAGCTTTCAGAGGAGTACTAATAAGCACCTCATCTCAGGGGGACCTCTGCACCCACTATCACCCTCCCTCCAGCTTTGACTGCCTAAGACTCATTCTTGAGGCCAGAACACCATGGTGGGAATCCTGAGACAGAGCTCCAGTCAGCTTAAGTGGGAAGAAGGTGTCAGGCCCTTGAGATGGGTGTGCCAGGGCCCAGCTTGGGGTTTGGAGAATCAGCACTGGTCTCCTTTGGGCCAGAACCTTGAATGGGAAGGCCAAGGGTCAGCCACACCTGGGGGAGGGGCCTCCCTCCTCCCAGACTCAAAGGCAGATCCCCTTGGGAGGGACCCTCAAAGGGCTTTCTGCTGGTGTGACAAAGACTTCCCCGGACCAGATTACCAGGATTCAGCCCAGGAGGCAAAGGTTGTGGCACAGTGCCAACTCAGCTGTGCACACTATGTCCTGCCTCTGATAACCAGCTGTCAGCTGAGCCCTGAGTGCTGCGGTACAGCCAGGTTTGTTTGCTAAGCTTGAGTGTTGGAGCTTCCTGGACCCGCCTGCCCTGGAGGGGACAGAGCAAGGAGGAGCAACGGGCCAGGTGGCAGGCATCTATGGCTGAGAAAGGACAGAATCCCAGGGTGTCAACCCTCTGCCCCCAGCACCTTCCTTTCAGGACTCTTCCCTAGTCCCAGGACCTAAGACAGGTCCAGTGAGTAGGTCACTGGGCTGGAGCAGTTGAGGATGGAATGGCGAATAGCGCACAGCGGGGACATAGGATCCCTGTGCTCCCTCACCTGGGCTCCACATCAGCATCCAGATACCAAGGCGCCCGCGAAGTTGGGTCTCTGGGTCTGAGGTGCAGGACCCAGCAGGGGCTCACCGCCAGCTCACGCCTAGGGTTGTGTCAGGGTCTCTTGACCCCGCCCCTGGAGCGGTGGTCTCATTTGCATGGCCCCGCCCCAGCAGGCCATTGGCGGCAGCAGCGGGAGGCCGGGCCTGAGTGGCTGCGAGGCCTGTGGGACGGCGGGGGCGGGGCGGGCGACAGGCGCCTGGGATGATGCCGCCACCGCCACCGCCACCGCCGCTGCCGCCGCGGGACGGGTTCGGGTCTGGGTCGGACTCAGCCGGTGTGGGGAGCGGGACCGCCCCGGTCGTGGCGGCCACTGCGGGAGCGCACTGAACGGTCGCCTGTCATGTCCAGGAAGAAGACCCCCAAGTGCAAGGGGGGCAGCGTGCCTGCTGCCTCCGCTCTGCCTGCTGCCAACGGGCCCCGACCGGTGCGTCCCGGGACTACGCACCCTGGCCCCGAGGCGCCGCCCAACGGGCCCCCGCAGTTCGGTCGGCCCTCGCTTGGCGGCGGTGGCGACTTCTACGACGTCGCCTTCAAGGTGAGCTAGACACCCTCCCCCAAGCGAGTGCAGCAGGTGGCCTCGGATCACAGCCAAGCAGGGAGGGGTCCAGGGTTGGGGGTGCAAGGTCCCGCAGATCCTCCCAGCTGAGCTGGGTGAGTGGCACCCCCCAGTTGGCACAGCAGCCCTGAGCATTGCGCACGCACACATCTGTCAGGCCAGGGTTTGGGGTTCTGAGCAGCTGGCAGGGCCTGCCCAGCCCGCTAGGTGAAGAGAGCCCTTCAGGTGCCCCTCCCCAATCCGAGCCCCCACCTGGGTTCAGTTTCATTTCCCATATGCTGCCTTCCCTCACCCCCAGTGACTCGGGGTCTCCTTTTTCTGGAAGGGAGGAGATTAGGAAGACCTTTGCCAGCTGGGTGGGGAGACTGAGGCCTCCCCCAAACCAAGGCAGAAGGTGCATAAAATTTGGTGGAGGTAGGCCCCACCAAAACGGGTAGGACCATCTTTGGGTTTTGGAGCATTTGGCAGCAGGCTGGGTGGGGGAGGGAGAGGGCCTGATTCTTCTCCCTATCCACAGACCTGGCCCAGGACCCTCCTCAGTTCAGGATCTAATCTTGGTTTGGCAAATCCCTCTTGAGCCTTGCTGCTGGGATTCCTGTCCTTGTTGGGGTTAGAAGCCCTGCCTCTGAGTCCCCACAGATCTCTCAGAAGGTCCAGCTGCCACCACCCAGGCTCTTGCTCCCTCTCAGATCAAGTATGGTGCCCATGGTGGAAGGGTGGGTAGGATTCTGAATGGAATACTGTCTTCACACTGCCACTGACTGAGATGGGCACTATTCAGAGGGAGAGAGGGGACTGAAACTACCACCAGAGGCAGAAGCTGGAGGTCCAGGCCAGGCCAATGGGGACCATAGCTGCTGCCTCTCCCCAGCCCATGCTGAACCTGCAAGCCTAGAATACCCCTCTCCTTTCCTCTCCCTCACTGCAACCCCTCTCTGGCCAGGTCAGCTCAGAGCAGAACAGAAGTCCCCTCTGGGTGGACCGGCATGCCTCCCCCAAGGCCTGACACGTTGGACCCTCCTGCCTGCTGTAGGTTATGCTGGTGGGAGACTCAGGCGTGGGGAAGACCTGTCTGCTTGTACGCTTCAAGGATGGTGCTTTCCTGGCAGGCACCTTCATCTCCACTGTGGGCATAGACTTCCGGGTGAGTGGTGACTGATGCTTTGCCAACTGGGAGGGCTCAGGCCTCTAAGGAACCCAGGATCCCAGTGACAGCCCTGGTTCCCCCACATCAGCTGAGTTCTCCCAGAACCAGCAGGCAGTTGGTTCTGTCTTCTCCATGCTATCCAGGGGCTTAGGAGGTGGCATTCCCAGTGAGGATGGTTGTGACCAAGATGCCTTAGCCACCAAGCATCCAATGCCTGAAGAAGTGTTTGCAACCAATTGAAGCAGAGACAGTTCCCCTGTGCCAGAGGCTGACACTGCCCTGGTGCCATATCCTGTGCCCCATGGTGGCAGCAGTGGGAAGGAACTTGATCCATGTCCCTCAGGAGTCAGTGTTGCTGCCCCACTGTACATGAGGGTGCCCAAGGATATGAGAGGTGCTGGGCACTTGCCCAGGCCCTGCAAGTTAGGTGACTGTGGTGCAGCCTGGGAAGTGTTCACAGGGCTTGTTTAGGGGAGAAGCTCCTGCCTTTGGGTATGAGAATCTTCCAACATCCCAAGCAGGGATCTGTGGGTTCCAGCATTACAGCCCCCACCTCTGCCCACCAGTCAGAATCCCACGTGCTGAGGTGCTGGCTTGTTCTTGACAAATCCTGAATTTGCATTTTTCTCACCCTTTAATTAGACCTACTTAGCAAGAGGCTGAGAGGGAGGCCCATTATGGGGGCAGGAAAGGGGGCTTCCTCTAGTGTGGAGAGTTGTGTTCTACCCAGATTGTGTGGGAGTGAAGGGCTGAGGTGCTAAAAGGGGTAGACACTGCTGTGGGCAGGTGGTCCTTTGCCCATCCTGGCCTCCCTCCACTCTTGCCTCTGAGGCAGTGAGGGAAGTGAGGCCATTTGGTTGGTGTCCCTGTTCAGGGTGCCAGGGAAGGCTAGGTATTCTCCTCAGCACAGCAGATGGCCAAGCCTGGTTCCCCGGAGACCCAGAAGCACCCTGACAGCAGGGAGGAAGTGGTACCAGTTCCAGCTACCCAGGGACTCAGCTTGTGGTTAGCCCTCTTCTTGGCCTGGGGTGGGGCCACTTGTATCCTCATGTCCTGAACTGGGAAGGCCCAGCTGGGGAGCACTGACAGCCATACACACACTGGTACCTACTGTATACCAGACACAGTTCTGGGCTCTGTGGTTACAGCATTGGGCCAAACAGGAAGAGCTAGAGTCCCAGCGTGGAAAAAAAAATTTTTTTTTTTCCTTTTTCAGTACTAGGGATTCAACCCACCACTGAGCTGTATCACCAATACCAGCCCTTTTTAAGTTTTATTTTGAAGCCAGATATTGTGGCACATACCTATAATCCCATCAACTCAAAGGCTGAGACAGGAGGATCAAAAGTTTGAGGCAACTCAGTGAGACCTTGTCTCAAAATAAAATAGGGTTGAGGATGTAGCCCAATGGTAGAGCACTCCTGGGTTTAATCCTTAGTACTCACTTGCACACACAGGGTCTCATTGAGCTGCCCAGTTTGGATTAGAACTTTCAATCCTCCTGCCTCAGTCTTCTGAGTATCTGATTACAAGATCATGCCCAGTTGGGAGAGGCTTAAAAACAAACAAAACTAATTCTTTATCTGGGCTGAACATGGTTCTCAGTGCACATATAGAACAGCTCATTAAGTTATAGGAGCAACTATGAGACAGGCACCCTGCCTATCTCCATCCGCAGATAGGAAAACTGAGGCACAATAACAGGCTTGGGATCACACCACAGATGACTTCAGATACATCAGTATGAGTGGCTCTAAGCAAAAGCAGGGTGTCCAGAGCACTCTTCAGAGAGCAGTGGACAGGCTGCATTTGCAAATGGTTCAGGGAAATCTATGCAGACCTCAGGAGGGTGGCAGCTAAGGATGGGCTATGAGAGGGGAAGAGGGAACAATGGGATCCCTCTTGGGGCTGAGGCAGGGGCCTTCCAGGGCAGTGGAGGTGGTAGGCAAAGAGAAACTTGACCTAAAATTGGACACAGCTGGCCATGGATGGTGGCAACCAGCAAGCTCATCAGGGCAGCCATCTGAACAGGAGGTGGGGGGCTCTGCCAGGAGGAGGTAGGAAGCACATGGACCTAAACATGGCCTTTAGGAAAAGTATCAGGAGATGGTGTGGGGGTGGGCAAGGCTCAAGAATGACTTAAGGACTTAGCAAGGGGCAGGACAGGGGAACTTTATCCTCCCCAATAGTGAACCTGGGCTCAGCCTTGGCTTGCACTGCCCACCCCCACCCCCACCCCCTGGCACCTCACCCTAAGAAGCCCCAGGCCAGAGAGTGGCACTGGGCTGGTTCTGTTTCAGAACAAAGTTTTGGACGTGGATGGAGTGAAGGTGAAGCTGCAGGTAAGTTGACCAGGGAGGGGCAAGTTGGGTGAAGGGGATACCAGGAAGGAGCTAGACAGCATGACCAGTACCTGTTGACACAGATCTGGGACACAGCTGGCCAGGAACGGTTCCGCAGTGTCACTCATGCCTACTACCGAGACGCTCATGGTGAGTCTGTGGAACAGGGACCAACCTCCTGGGAATTGGGATGTGGTCTATAGGTGACCAGCTCAGAGGGTGTAAGAGGGCCAGTGGGACAGCAGTTCAGGGTGTGATGCTCTTACCTGTGGTGACTTGGGAACAGGGAGCCACTGGGCTCCAGGGATTTCCTCACTGTCATTTCTCCCCAGCACTACTGCTACTCTATGATGTCACCAACAAGGCCTCCTTTGACAACATCCAGGTCAGTGGCCTCTTCCTGGTGGGAGGCATGGGCCATGCCATGGAATCCCCTAGAATTTTGAGGACCCTAACAGGGAGGGGAAGTGACAAGCCTCTCCAGGGCTCAAGGTAGCCCAGGTTGAGTATGAGCTAAAATGGGCTTGGGTGACATTCAGCTCTGTCAGCAGGACTCCCTGGATAAGGCACTTGTAAGGTGGGCACCTCTGCCCAACGAATGGGAGCTTTTTGGAAACGGGCAATCTACAAGGTGTGGCCTGGAGGGGCCAAGTTTCCAAAAGGGTAAGGTGTGCAAGGAGCACCAGCCCCCAGCTCTCCCCACAGGCTTGGCTGACAGAGATCCAGGAGTATGCCCAGCACAACGTGGTGCTCATGCTGCTGGGGAACAAGGTGGGCAGCCTGCCCTCTACAGCCTATAAGGCAAGGCAGGTGATGGGGGAGGGTGGCCAAGCCATGGGCCCTATCACCCAAAACCCTGTGCCTGGGCCAGGTGGACTCTGCTCATGAACGTGTGGTGAAAAGGGAGGATGGGGAGAAGCTGGCCAAGGTGAGTCAGGGCAGGGTGGGCAATGAGGGTACCCCGAAGCTGGGGAGCCTGGGTTGTCCCCACCAGGCCACCACCCAGCTGGCAGCAGTTGTTTGCAGGAATATGGGTTGCCCTTCATGGAGACCAGTGCCAAGTCAGGCCTCAATGTGGACTTGGCCTTCACAGCCATAGCAAAGTAAGTCCTGGCAGTGAACAAAGAACCCCCAAACCCAAGGTGTGAATCCCCTTGCCGGGGGTGAAAGAGGCCACCTTGTTCCATGTCACCACTGTTCTGCAGGGAGCTGAAACAGCGCTCCACGAAGGCTTCCAGCGAGCCGCGCTTCCGGCTGCACGAGTATGTTAAAAATGAGGGTCAAGGGTCTTCCTGCTGCCGATCCTGAACCTAGCTGAGCTCAATTCCACTCTGGAGGAAGCAGCACAGACCTGGAAGGCTGGACAGAGGATTTTCAGGCCCTTTTGACTTCACACAGTGGCCATCCCAGTGGTGTCCATTTCCAGGACTCCCATCCAAGCCTCACCCCTTCCTTGTTTAAGCTGTAGTCATTAATCTTCAGTCCCAACATGCAGGCTTCAAAGCCATCACAGAAAAACAAAGGTCTTGAGCCCAGGAGGGGGCGCCCAGCAAGTGTACTGACAAGAATGAAGGGCTTTGCTGCCCCCTGCCGGGCACTCCCAGTGTGCCACAGGCCAGCATATACATTACAGCAACTGACCTTAGAAAATTCATGCCTTCAGCCAGACGCTGTTTAGGCAGGAATCCCCATACTTGGGACAGAGGGCTTCACTGATAACAACATCCTGTATTTGTGTGCCCTAAGGTCCAGAGCCACCCACTCCCAGCTAGGAAGCTCTGGTTCACCAAATGGATCCTCTCATGTGACCCTGGAGGACACCAAAGCTGTGATTTTTAATACAGGGAACAGCATATGGGAAATCACAGTAGTGTCAGAAAATTAGGACCAACAGCCCTAACCTACTGACCAGGGTACCAACTTAGCAGGTCAGGGCACCTGCTCACAACTAAAGCCTGTGGTTGCCAAGCTCTCTCCATCTTACATGAAGTTATCAAACCAGTCTTTTGATTGTGAGCCTGTCTTTTTTCCAGTCCTAGTAAATAAAGATGTGTTTTTCTGGAATTTGTCACATCTGTTCAAAGACATTGGCTTCTAGACAGATTCTATAGTAAGGCCCAGACATCTGTACTAAGTAGGTTAAGTTCCCTACAATCCATGTCTGTTTCAAAGCTCAATGCTCTTCAGGGAGCACTCTAAAAGCTGGGTGATCAGTGTCAACTTTCCTCCATAAGACTCATTAATCAAAAAAGGGGTGGGCTGCCGTAATAGCTCAGTCGGTAGAGCACTGGCCTAGCCTAGCATGCATGAGGCACTGGGTTTGATCCTCAGCACCAATAAAGTTGTTTGTTTGTCTACAAAAAAAAAAAAAAATGCGGTGCCTACTGACCTGTTATCTAAGGAGAGCTTCCAGACCTAACCTGGGGCAAAGATATAAAAAAAAAAAAAATCTTTTTTTGGATAACAAATAAAAGTGAAGGCACTTCAAAGAGATGCCAAGTCTTTAGTAAGGAATTCCCATATTCAAGCCTCTCCCCTTTCCAGATTGCTTGAGGACTGAAATATGAAAGAGAATACAAAAAGAAAAAGAAACAGACTTCAATAAAGGATCATCAATACTTTATTAAGCAGCCAAGGGGCATGTTTTCAAGAATAAATGGTGACTGGCTATGACAAGAGTGAGTTGCAGGGCCACATCATGGGAGTTTGTCAGTTACTTTTGGCGGGCAGGGGAAATTGCCAATGGTCAGAGTCCTTGGTTCCCTTTTTCCCTGAGGGTTTTTTAAGTTTCCATTTTCTTCAAGGACAAGTGACTCCTTTAGAGTACCAACAGCATATGAAAATTGAAAAGCCAAGGTTTGCCATCGGAGAGTGACACATACACACGGACAGTTGTGGCAAAGGTGCATTTAATGTAGGTTGGTACTGGCTTATATAGAAAATGAAAGCCAGTTGTCTCAAAGCAGGAAGCCCCTGAGGCCAATCAAATAAAGGTCAGGTCAACACATATGGTACATGTGTATTCACTCAGCATGGGGTCCATGTGGAGCAGGAGCTGAGCGCGGAAGAAGGGCAGACCAACTGGGGAATTTTCAAAACAACCTACTGCCTGCCCATTGCCCGCCCTTTGGCAATGTGCCTGCCGCCATGTTAAGAGCCTGGGGAACTCTTAGGGGACTCCCAACATTCCCCCCTCTTTGTTATTACATGGAAAGGGATGCCTATTCATTCTGACTACTTCCTGCTGAGCGGGGGCATTGCCGGGGAAGGAGTCTGAAGGAGGGAAGTCAGGAGCCCCCATAGGAGGGCAGCAAGAATTGGTATAAGGTTGGGTGGGATGTCACAGAAAGTCCCCTGCAGCCAAAGATCCATTATCATCTTGATCCAGTCAATGTAAGTCTCCATGGGGGAGCACAAGTCAGGCATCATCGGATATTGCTCTTAAAAAGGTGTCCCAGGAGTTTGTGATGAGTCTTTCAACATTGGGTGGGATGTTCCCTGGAAGAGGTGGCTGGTTCATCAGTGGCCAGGAGCTGATAATTTCTACAGAAGCTGGTCAAAAGTTTGGTTAGAGATTTTACCTACTTGAGTCTGAATAAACTTTACAATATATGGTAGAAACAGACACATCAGAAGAATTACACATAGTGGTCCAAGGATAGGCCATACCCATATAAGAAGAGGAGTGGCCATTAAGGAAGAGAAAAGGTTTTGGTTTACTGGGGTCCTTAGGGTGGCTGCTAGGTTAGTGAGCTTAATATTGCTTTCCATAAGCCCTGATTCATTTATGTAATAACAGCATTCTTCCCTGAGGAAAAGACAGGTTCTGCCTTTTTCGGCAGTCAGTAAATGTAGGGCTCTGCCATTCTGGAGGGTGACTTGGGCCAATGAGGTGACCTGTTTCTGCAGGGAGGCTAGAGATTCTGCTGTTGAAATGAGTGCTCGAATTAATGTCCTTGACAGCCCATAGAGAATGACCTAAGGCTCCTCCTGATAAGCCTGCACTTGCTGCTGAGGCTGTTAATGAGATACCCACCACTACCGGAAGGAATGCAGCCCGTCTTATGTGTCTTGGAGGATTAAGGATGAATTGCACTTCAGAACTACTATGGAGAGTGAGCTGTGGGACTATAGTAACCAGAAGACATGGACTGGACATATTGGGAAACATAATGGTGGTAAGAGTTCCATTGCACCAGAAGAAGAGACCAGATGGGGAATAGGTGGTGTTATTGATTGTTAGATTATGGTGACAAAAGCCATCCAGCAGGGAGTTGGGGGTTGTGGATCCCAGAAGGAAAGCACGAGGAATCGTAGTGTGGTTACCCTCCTCGGGCTCCCATAAGGGGATATTTTGTAGAGGTTTGAAAGGATCTCCTTTGTGGGATGAGGTGGGCAAGCTGGAAACATTTACTGGGACTGCAGCAAGTAAAGGCTGTGCTAGAGAAGCGCACAAGAAGCAATTTGCAGGACTTGTATCAGGGAAAGTTTGGTTTAGATAGGACAGGGTGTCGGTAATGATTTGTAATCAGGTATAGATTGGTGAAGCCTGAGAGTCAGAAGAAGCATGTTGGTTTTCTAAGGATGCGAGCAACCGCTGTTCTGAGTGTTTTATGTTGGTTGAGACAAGAGAGACTGGGGACCCCACAGAAACATACTCTCGAGAAATAGACAAGGAACCGCAAGGGGTGGAAGCATACCCATTGCAATAAAAGGAAGCTTTTACCCCTGATGCCCAGCGTGGGTCCCAAGGGTCTGGGATGGTCAGATTGTACTGGTGGGAGGCAGACTCAAATCTGAATCTTCCTATATTTAATTGTCCTGAATATGCATCATGAATTCTGCATGACCAATAGGGGCAGCCTCTGTAGGTTTCCGGCCACCATTTCAGTGATCCTTATTTTGGTCATATAAAAAACATAAGTAAGGGCGGCTGGCTTGTTTAATAAGCTCAAAGGAGGAAGAGAACACAATATAAATGGCTGAGGAGCACCCTCGTAGGGGGCAGTCAGAGGTAGCAGTTAAGCGGGTAATCTTGGTGTTCTTTTGGGTATATGTCTCCCTTACTTTGAATCTCCAGACATATGAGGGTGAAGGCATTACCCCTGGGGTAAGGGTAAGGATGAAAAACAGAAAATTAAGGTGCATCTTCTGATATGTTTTCAAGTATAGGTACAAGGGCAGGAACGCAAGAAAGATGAAGTTTCAAGGGATCGCGAGGGTGAGAAGAACAGGAATATGTGGGTGTGGATTCCTGCAGATCTTCCGGCCGGGTGTTGCCAGAATCAGTCTCCTGGATGCACGGTTTAAGCCTGGAAATGTGAATCCACAGGGTTAATTGGTTATTTATTTATTTATTTATTTGAGAGAGCGAAAGAGAGAATTTTTTTTAATATTTAGTTTTTAGTTTTCAGCGGACACAACATCTTTGTATGTGGTGCTGAGGATCGAACCCAGGCCGCATGCATGCCAGGCAAGCGCTACCGATTGAGCCACATCCCCAGCCCAATTAATTGGTTATTAGTGAGTTTAAGCTTAGCCACCGAAGGCGTGCACATGGTGACTGAGGCAGGGCCTTCCCATTTGGGATGTAGCTGAGGTTTCTCACCTGGGGGACAATAGTATACCCGTTGGCCAGGTATTAGAGTGGGGGGGTTTCGAGTAAGGGTTGGATCAAGTAAAAGCCAGTCCTGATACTTCCAGAGTTCAGAACGTAGATGGAAGAGGAGAGATAGAGTGTAGGAATCAGGGATAGGCAATTGTTCTGTCTGTATTCCAGGAGGCAGGAGTGGGTGGCCATACATGACCTCAAATGGGGAAAGGTTGGATGGCTTCCTTGGTAGGGCTCTGAGGCGCAACAGCACCAGAGGAAGAACTCTTGTCCAATCTAAGCTTAATTCCATGGTGAGTTTAGTGAGGGTTTCTTTGAGGGATCTATTAGTTCTTTTGACTTTCCCTGAAGCCTGAGGGCGGTATGGGCAATGAAAGTGCCAAGGGAGTGATAGAGCGCAAGCCAGCTCCTGGGTTATGTGTGAAGTAAATTCGTGGCCATTGTCCGATTGGAGCGAGGTGGGCATTCCAAAACGGGGAATTATGTCAGATATTAATCGGTCCACAAGTGTAGAAGCCCGCTTATTGGATGCGGGAAAAACTTCTACCACCCTGAGAATGTATCCACCAGCACTAAGAGGTATTTGATGTTTTTTACCTTGGGCATATTGGTGAAGTCAATTTGCCAATCAGCTCCTGGGGTATGTCCACAGGCCTGATGGGAGGGAAAGGGCTTGGGTTTTTTTTTTTTTTTTTAAAGAGAGAGAGAGAGAGAGAGAATTTTTTAATATTTACTTTTTAGTTATTGGCAGACACAACATCTTTGTTTGTATGTGGTGCTGAGGATGGAACCCAGGCCGCAGGCATGCCAGGCGAGCGCGCTACCGCTTGAGCCACAACATCCCCAGGCCCAAGGGCTTGGGTTTTAAGGGGGTGTTGGTATTGGTCCTTTGGCAGATCTGGCAAGTGGATGTAATTTGTTGTAGAAGAGTTCGGTCGTCTGAAGAAAGAGGGAAAAAGGATTGAATGAAAGTTGACAGACTCTGTGGGCCGGAGTGGAATAGGGAATGAAGGAACTGAAAGAGTCGGTGAGAGTTAGTAGGACGTTCCTCAGGGGAAAGATGGAACAATGTGGAAGAGGCCGGAGCCTGCAGGATGGCTTATCAAGCTGCCTGGTCAGCTTTAGAATTACTCGCTGTAGTGGGGAAAGAGTCAGTCTGATGGGCCTTACGGTGGATTATTCCCAACTGAGATGGCAATGTAGAGGCCCGCAGCAGATTGGAAATAAGATTGGCTTTTTTTTTTTTAAAGGGAGAGGGAGGGGGAAGGAGAGAGGGAGAGAGAGGGGGGGGGGGCGAGAGAGAGAGAGAGAGAGAGAGAGAGAATTTTTTAATATTTATTTTTTCATTTTAGGCAGACACAACTTCTTTTATTTGTAAATGGTGCTGAGGATTGAACCCAGGCCACACGCATGCCAGGCGAGCACACTACCGCTTGAGCCCACATCCCTAGCCCAATAAGGTTGGCATTTATGACAGCAGTACCCTTAGTAGTTAAGAGTCTTCTCTCTTTCCAGATGGCTGCACGGGAAACTAATATATGAAAGACACACTTGGAATCAGTGTATAGGGAGAGCTTTTCCCCTTCTGCTAGTTCACATGCTCTTGTAGCAGCTGTAAGTTCTGCTTGCTGGTTAGTTGTGTTGGGCGGCAGGGGTTTAGCCTTAATGACAGAAGAGAGAGACACAACAGCATAGCCTGCCACTCTAACATCCCCATGAAAGTAGGAGCTGCTGTCGGAAAACCAGATGAGATCAGAAGAGGGAAGAGGCCCTTCGGAGATGGTGACTGGGTGAGGCAAGATTGTCTCTAGTATTTCAGAGCATTTATGTGTAAGAGACTCTAGAGGGGCACATGGAAGGAGGGAAGCAGGGTTTAATGAGGAACAAGGTTGAAAAGATATAGTGGGGTTTTGTAGAAAAGAGACAAGGAGAGATAAAACCCTCAAAGGGGAAAGGGATTGTAACCCCTTATATGTTAAGAAATCCTTCAAATGATGTGGGGAAAGGATAGTTAATGGTGAGCCAAAGGTGAGTTTGTATGTCTCATTTTGAAGGTCATGAGCAGCAGCTAAAGCTATAAGGCATGGAGGCCAACCCCTGACAGTGGGATCGAGCTGCTTTGACAAATAAGCTACAGGTGCGAAGGTGGGGCCATGATTTTGCCCTAGCACCCCTAGGCTTTGACCCTGTTTCTCATGTACATATAGGAAGAAGGGTTGAGAGGACTGGGGAGATGTAAGTAAGGCGGGTGCCTGGAGAAGGGCCTTTTTTAAGATTGTGAAAGGTTTTCCTACAGTTGAGGGAAGGGGCTCGTCCTGAGAGCCTTTTGCCAGATTGTATAGCGGTTTGGCAAGAAGGGAGAAATTAGGGATCTATGCCCTAAAATATCCTGCTAACCCCAAGAAGGAGAGTATTTCGTCTTTGGTTTTGGGTGTGGGCAAGGATCTGATATGCTGTTTTCTGTCTATTGTGATAAATTTTTTCCCCTGGGAAATAGAAAAACCTAAATATGTGACTGTGGTGGTTACTAACTGAGCCTTGTGAGGGGAAGCACGATATCCTTTTTGTGCCAGGAAGTTGAGTGGTCTTTAGAAGGACTACTGAGAAGGAGATGAGTGGTCTTTAGAAGGACTACAGAGAAGGAGATGAGTGGTCTTTAGAAGGACTACAGAGAAGGAGATCATCAACATACTGAAGGAGGACGGACGAGGAGCAATGAGAGCGGAAAGTCTTTAGATCAGAGGCTAGGACCTGACCAAAGAGATGAGGACTGTCTCTAAATCCCTGAGGAAGGACAGTCTAGGTTAGCTGTTGGGAATGTCTGGTGTTGGGGTCTGTCCAGATGAAGGCAAAGAGGACCTGGGAGTCGGGAGCCAAGGGAACAGAAAAGAAAGCATCTTTCCAATCAATGACAGAAAAGTGGGTGGCATCAGATGGGACCTGGGACAGAAGTGTGTAGGGATTGGGGACCAGAGGATGTATAGGTCTCACAGCTGTATTAATGAATTGTAGGTCCTGAACTAAGTGGTAGGAGCCATTAGGCTTGCGTACTGCCAGGATGGGAGTGTTGTAAGGAGAGTGAGCAGGGCAGAGGTATCCTTTAGAAAGAAGGTCCTGGATGACTGGTTGTAAGCCTAGGAAGGCTTTGGTAGATAGTGGGTATTGTGCCTGATTGGGGAATTTATTGGGGTCTTTAAGATGTATGGAAACCAGGTGGCAAGAAACAGTAGAGGGAGTTTTAACACCCCAAACCCGAGGATCCATTAAGCTCGATGGTATAGGTTCATGACTGGATTTGGGGCATTGTTTAGTATCTGGTTTGTCTGTAGAGTCAATGGGAAAGGTTAGGTCCCTTGTTCATAGAGCTGGAAAGGATGAAGCGGCCAGCCCTGGTGCTCTGGGGCTTGGATATTGATTGTGGTATGAAGTCTAGAAAGAATGTCTTGACCAAGCAGAGGAACTGGACATTGGGGCATAACCAGGAACGACTGTGAGAACGGGAAGCCTTCTATGGAGCAAATAAGGGAGTTCTTTTGGGATAGTGTTCCCTCCTACCCCGACAATAGAAGTGGATGGCACTGTCTGTCCCCAGAACTCGGTTAACACAGAGAATGTAGTCCCGGTATCAAGGAGGAAATCAATTTTATGACTGTCCACCTGAATTTGCACCCTAGGTTCTTGCCTGTTGATCTTTAAGGCCGGGGACAAGGACCCAAGGCTCTGTCAATCTTCGGACATAATGCCCAAGAGGTTGGAAGACTCTTTGGCCATAGTTCCCCTGTGGGACCTAGGACAGAGCTCCAGTGACCCAGCTGTTGGCATTTAGAGCAGGGAGTCCGTGGAGCACATGGGGCGGGGCAGGCTCTTGCCCAGTGTCCTTCTTTGCCGCATTTGAAACAGGCACCTGGGGCAGCTTTTATTACCTGGTAGAGTTTGGGCAAGCATTTGAAATTTAGTTTGCTCTGCCCTATGACGGCGTCGCTCCGATTTCCTCATCTAGGTTATGAAAAACCTTGAAGGCTACAGCTAGTATCTCCATTGAGGGGTAGCAGGGCCCTGTTCTAGTTTTTTAAGTTTAGCCCTGATGTCGGGGTAACTTTGGGAGAGAAAATGTCATGAGAACATGACGTCCATCTGGAGTTTCAGGATCTAGGTTAGTATATTATTGAAGGGCTTTAGTAAGCCAATCTAAGAATTCCGATGGGGTCTCTTCAGGTTTTTGAATGATCTCCTGTAGTTTTTGGAAATTGACTGCCTTCCTTGCTGCCTTTTTAAGTCCAGCAATAATGCATGCAGAAAGGCAGTCCCTGTTCCGAATTCCAGCTTAGGTGTTAGGGTCCTGTTCTGGAGCTGCTAAGGGACCCAGGGATTGTGTCTGATCAACCCTGTGGACCTGCATGAGCTCTAGTGAGTTCGCAAACTCAAGTACGCTTCTCTGGAAGAAGGGTGTTAGCCAAGAGCATATATATATATATATATATATATATATCATGGTGGGTAAGGCTATAAGCTTGGAGGACCCATTGGAACTCTTTGATATAGGTGGTAGGAATAGTGGAAAAGGAGCCTAGCCTCTTTTCAAGTTGCATTAGAGCCGTCACCGAGAAGGGGATGTGCACTCTGATGATACCTTCAGGTCCAGCAACCTCTCATAGAGGGGCCATGGTTTGCGGTGCAGCAGAGCTGGATTGAGTTGGGGGGGTGGCTAAAAGGGCCTGCTGGAGAGAGGCTGTTGTTGGAACTTCCTGGGGAACTGGCTGGGGCATAAGGGGGAGGTCATCCGCGGATCAAGAGGAGAGTCTAGGGACCCCTCTGGGGGATATCGATTTTAGTTATCTAGTTGATAACATGGCCAATTTTGTGTACAGAATTTAGTGAGAAGTTTGGGTTTTATGTCTGGGGTGAGGGACAGCCGGCTAAGGTTAGCCAGAAGACATTTTAGAGGGGAATCAGCAGCTAGGGAAGAAGAGGCTCCCATAATGACTCTTTATAGGAAAAGAAGGAGTGAATGGCCCGGACTGGAACAGATTTTGGTCTCTCATAGGCGTCTCCGAAGGGAGAATCCAACCAAAGAAACTCAGGAAGTCGGAGCCAGGAGGGCAAATGAGTTGTCACCCAAGAGCCCAGCCAGCGGGCCTAGGAAGGCCGGGAGTCATGGGCTTCCTGGCGCCAGGACTTTCTCAGAAGAATTTGGGGGACAGAGAGAGAGAGTGAGTCAGAGAGTGCCTATTCTTCTGCCCCTTATGGCTTCTCAATCATGAGGTGGGTATCCAGAGAGTCCACTAGGACTGTGAAAGCCATGGTGGGGTGCGTTCTCTCATCCAAACCAAGAATCAAAGGCCTTGCTGGACGTTCACAGTCAAGGCCTTTGTGTACAGCCATTTGGAGATGGATTCCCAAAGGGGGAAACTCACCGGTTGTTGATCAGGAAGAAGAAGCACCTACTGGAGAGCCAGTGTTGGGTGGGCTATAGCAGCTCTCAAAAACGTGGAGGAGGATGGCAAACTTTGGGAGAGGGGGAAGAGGGGGGTCCTCAGAAAGTGAGGAGTTTCCCCTCCCGGTTTGGGCACCAATGAAAAGCCAAGGTTCGGCGCCGGAGAGTGACAGTGACACATACACATGGACAGTTGTGGTAAAAAGTGCATTTATTGTAGGCTGGTACTGGCTTATATAGAAAATGAAAGCCAGTTGTCTCAAAGCAGGAAGCCCCTGAGGCCAGTCATAATAAAGGTCAGGTCAACAATACGGTACACGTACATTCACTCAGCATGGGGTCCATGTGGAGCAGGAGCTGAGCATGGAAGAAGGGCGGACCAACTGGGGAATTTTCAAAATGACACATTGCCCCCCGCCATGTTAAGAGCCTGGGGAACTCTTAGGGGACTCCCAACAAAAATAATGGAGCTTAGAGTATAGGACTCACTAACTTTATTTTATTGTTAACTAGTTCAGTTACACAGAAGGATGCCCATCTTACCACCAGGCTCTCTCGCCTGCTGGGCCTCTGGACTGCGGTTCAACGTCTGCAACCAGCTCACCACCGCCCTGAAAGTTAAACAGCGTGCAAAATTGAATGTAGACAAAAGCCCCTCTTCCTCATTTCGGCCAAGACTCATTCTCATTCCCAGTCCCTCCCTGACAAAGGGCGCACCCAAGCCTCAGTCTTGCAACATAATCAGACTGCACATGCAGTTTTCATACGAGGTGTCAGAAATTAAAGCAGTTCATCACAGGCTTGAGCTTAATCGAAAAAACTAGGCTCGGTCCTTTGTCACCTGCAGGAAGCTGAAGGTATGGAGATTCAGAAAGAAAGGCTAAGGGCCAAGGTGGAGCCCAGACCGCGGCAGGACCCGGAGCGAACCCCCCAAATCCCACGCAGGGCCCACCTCTTACCCGTACAATGACAAACCCAATCTGAGCGGCTAAATTCTCCAACCTCGAACTAGTCCCCAAAAGGACGCGGGCGCGAGAGGCACAAGCTTTTATAGAAACTGCCCCACCTCTGTGGTTGGGCAACCCGGCGGAAGTTCCCGCCTTCCCTCACCTGCGGTAGGTTGCGCCTCCGCCAATCATGCCATGTTTTCACTAATTATGCCATAGCATTTCTTTGCGGGGCGGTCTCTCGGGGTGAGAACCGAAGCTCCACCTTTTTATTTGCTTCTTTTTTGAGACGACGTCGTCTTGCTCTCTTACTCCGGCTGGTCTTGAACTCGATCCTCCCGCCTCAACCTCCCGAGTTCCTGGACTACAGGCCTACACCACCAACGTCCGGCGAGTTCCTCCCTTTGGCGAAGGCCATTGAGCCTAACTGTGAGTGACGGGTGCAGAGAGCCAATCAGATATTGGTCTGCACATAGAGCGATTCAAAAGCCGCCGGAAGTCGTAGTTTCTGAAGCGCCGCGCATGAGCCAGCCGAGATCTGGCGAACTACAAGTCCCGGCGGGCCCAGCGCCCGAGCGCTTCCGGATCGAGCCTCCTGTCCCTTTCCCGGCCGGTGGCCGCGGGGGCACGATGAAGCGAGCGGATGGCGCTGCCGCTCCCGGGCAGCCGCGGGCGGGTGAGTGTCAGTGCCGCGGCGGGGCTAGCGCCGAGGGGCCGCGCGGTCCAGAGGGGGCCCGGCCTGGGGGGCGGGGCCTACACGGGCCGGGGTCTCCGCGTCGGTGCGGCGGTCTGCCTAGCCGCTGGGCCGCCGGTCGGTGCGGTCCTGCATTCCCTGGTTCTTCTCTTCTTGTACTCATTGAGCTTCATCTGGGCACCAGTCACTGTTGTAGGCGTCTGGGAGACAGCGGAGGACGGGATCCCAGTCTCATTAGCTCTTCTGGTGCAGGGTTCCCCGCCCTCCGTACTATTAACAATTCGGGCTGAATCGTTCTTTGCTTGGAGGGACTGTCCAGTGCGTTGTAGGATGTGGAACAACATCCCTGGCTTCTTACTGGAAGCCAGTAATCCCCAGCCCCCGTGACAACAGAAATGTCTCCAGACGTTGGCAAATGTCTCCTGGGTTGCAACCCATCTGGCACAACTCCTGGTGTGGAGAGGAGGGAAGGATTGACAGTACACAAAAACATGAGGAGTCGTGATATATCATGACAGAAACAGGACGCTGAGAAAATGAGTACTGAGGGCTCCTGAATGGGGATGAGTGCTGTACAGTTGACCAAAGATCAGGTGAAGAAGCAGCCAGTCCTGGGACATTGCTGGAGGAGCATTCCAAGCATAGGGAGCAAGGCGTGCAAAGACCCAGAGTGAGAATGGGCTTGGTGGAAAGGTGAGGTGGAGGAGGCAGGACAGCTTCACAGTGCAGGGTGGGAATTTTATTCGGCTTACAAGCTAACTGGGGAGGACGTGAAACTCAGGAGATGGATCAGGTGTAAGTCTGGGAGTCTCCTGATTGTATGTGAAGGTGGATTTGGGAATTCAGTGGGGACAGAAGAGAATGAAGAGGCTGGGCCAATGTCTCCTAGTCCTCTTTGGAGTCTAATTGCCCAAGCCTCCTTGTCTTGAGCAAGGCCAAGGTGGTCAGCTGGGACTGAGTCAGGTGAAATTCTACCCTACTCCTAAGACTCACATGCTTAGGGGTTCCATCTGCCCAGCCCATCTGCACCCTCATGTCAGCACCCTTCACACCCCTCCTCTCCTTTAGGATACTCACCCTTTGCCTTCAACAGGCTTATGGGCTCCTTTACTTCTTCCCTTTAGGCCTTTCCCTTCCCCAGTCCCTTTTCTGAGGATTTGTGTTAGGCACACCTTCTGCTATAAATCCCTGCTTGGCCTCTCTGGGAATTCACTTTTCTCCATGGAACCCCAGTCTCTGATTCCTGAGGTTTCTGTACCTATTTGCTGCAGTCTCAGGGAGCTAGAAGCTGCCACAGGGGGAGTAGGGATATGTGTAGTTTGGCTGAGGAGGAGACAGTCCAGAAAGAAGCAGCCAGGGTGGTGCCCCAACCTGAAAGTTTCCTTGAAATAACTCCCTGTGGCACTATGTCAAGGGATTTGGAAATGAATGAAGATGGGGTCTTCAGTACCCACTGAGAAGTGCCTTTGGCAGACTGAATGGAGACTAGTAGACTTCCAGCTCCTGAAGGGTCGGACTTACGTAAAGCCATCAACATGTCTCTGCTCTCCAGCACCCAGTGGGTGTGAGCCTCAACCAGCTGGCTGGATGAAAAATATACCTGGTGCAGGAAATGGAAAGAAGATGCAGCTGAAGGGCTTTGCTGGTCAGAAGATGCAGGCAGCCTGGACTCTGATTTAGCCACTCTGGCTCTGCTTGGCTGCCTCAAAGCTGCAGTGGGGCTCCGAGGTTTGCTGGCAGTCATGGAGAAAGCAGAAGGAACAGGGCTTGGGTCAGCCTTGGCATGACTGGCTGCTGGCTGGGTCCATGGGCCAGCCTTCATTTTTCACAGCTCTCAGAAAGGAACCACTGTTAGCAGAGCCTTCATTCTTAATCATATTGTTAACTCTTAGGCTCCTTTTAGGTGTGGGTACATCTTTACTCTGTCTTATAGACAGAGTAAAGGGCAAGATGCTCACCCAGTCACATATCTGTTAGAGTCAGGGGTGCCCTTTAACCCAGATATGTCTGAGTCTGTGGACTTGACAACTCTGTCACTCATCATATCTGTGATGGACACCTTCAGGGGTCCATAGGAACACATGTACCCAATCCCATGAGATATCAGCTGGACTTATTTTTCTCTGAACCAAGTTGCTCACAGGCCTTACCTTATCAGGACGTGGGCATCTAACTCTTCATCAGCCCTCTGGAGGGCTCAGTTAGGAAGGACCCTTGGAGGGGGATCCACCTACCCCTTGCCCTTTGACAGAGACCTCTGTGTCCCTAGTATGACAGTCCCAGGATAGACGGTGCTGCCCTTGGAGGAACATGCTGCCAAGTAAGCAGATGAGGAAGGAAAAGGCCACCAGGGGCTGGTGCTGATGATACGGGGACCTGGTGCTTCAGAGTCCTAGACAGAAGGATATAGAGTGGAGGTGAATCTGTCCCCAGGAGCACCCAGGCAGAAGGGGCAGCCTTGCAGAAATCCAAGACTAAGGGGTGACCAGTCGCCACACCATAGACAATCAAGAGATCTGGGAAAGAAAGGATGGCAGTTTGAGGCCAGGGGCAGGTGGGACAGCAAAGCCCATTCCTACTGCAGTGGGGTTGGAGCCTGGTGACTGAGCAGGGCCCTTCTCTTCCTCTAGCAGAGGGAGCCATGGATGCTGGAGGGGTTAGCTTGGGCAGGACAGGCCTGGAAGCTGGGTGTAAGGTGCAAGGGTGTAGAGCCCTGGGAAGGGAAGGCTGTTTACCGGGCTTCCACATAGTTGGGTCTGTGAGTGCAGGAAACAGAAAAAGGCAAGGTGAGGACAAGGGCTAGGAGGGGAGAGAGGCCAAATGGGCCTCTGCGCAGGGCCTACAGAGGTTCTGAGGGGATCCTCAGGCCTGAAGCAGGCAAAACAGGGATGCTGCAGAGATTCTGGACATTACACCCTGCCTGTCTGGGATGGAAAAGATGTGCTAAGGGGACATTGGGAGAAGAGACAGGGAAGTGCATGTGGCTTTGCTATGGCAACCAGGACTGTTTCTATAGGGTTTGGCAGCTGGACCTGGGCTTGGGCCAGGAGAGCTGAGGCAAGGGCTGACCCAGGGGTTGGTCAGCTTGTGGGATGGTTTGTGGGTCCCCTAGGCTGGCTCCATGATTCAAAGAGCCATGCTTGGAACTTTGGCTACTGTCCAGCCAGTTGGCCACCCACAGCTCAGGCTTGCTAAGGCCTGTGGACACATCCTAGGCTCTTCTCAAGGTGGTTATAAGCCTAAGAGGACTCTCAGGGTGTGCCTGCTTCCTTCAGGGCTTAGCACATGTTATTCAATGGATAGGGCCACCCCTACCCCAATCCCTTGAGGATGCAGGAGGAGTGCCCTAAGTGTGGGCTTGGCCTTAGTAGGGAGTTGGATCTGTAGACTCCCTCCATTGCCCCTCTCTCCAACAGGGCCCACCTGGGCTGTCCACTCCCCCTGCTGCCAGCCATAGAGTCCAAATAGGCAAGGATCCTGGCCAAGCCTGACCCAGATCTCCTCAGGGTTTGTCCCAAAGGAAAAGGATTAGAGATCTGTCTCTTACTCCCCCAACCCCCAAGCATGATACCTAGCAGATCCTGTGCTGTCGGGCTCCAAGCACTCCCTCCTGGGGGCAAAAGGAAAGGGCCTTACCCTCCTGATCAGGGTTTCTAGAAGAGGGGTTGCTGCATTCCATGTGTGCAGAGAGGAAGGTCTTATTGGCCAGGGAGTACTCCCAGGATCTGAAGAACTCCCTTGGATGTGGAAATGAATGGGCAAAAATCTCTGGGCCTCTACCCCAAACTCAAGTGAGGTTGCCCCAGGTAGAGGATTTGGTGGAGCAGAGACTAGGGGAAGAGAGACTGCTCTGCCCTGTTTGCACATACCTACCCCACCCTGCCTCAGAACCCTGAGTACACTTGGGTCACATTTACCAACTGGTGACAGCCAAGGTAGACAGCACCATTTCTTCTGGGGTCTTTCCTCTTTAAAAGATAGAATCCTGCTAGGTGCTGTGGTGCACACCTCTAATCCCTGTAACTCAGGAGGCTGAGAAAGGAGAATCACAAGTTCAAGTCTAACCTGGGCAATTTAGTGAGACCTTGTCTCAAAATAAAAATGGAAAGGAGTGGAAATATAACTCAGTGGTAGAGCACCCTTGGGTTCAAGGGTTCAATCCTTAGTACCACCAAAAAAGAAGAAAGAAAAGAATACCTGTTCTGTTCCCTGCTGACAGACAGACAGATGATCCTTGGACTTGAAAAGGAGGGGCAGGGAACTGATGGGGAAAGCCTTTTTTAGCCCACTCACTAAGGTTTTTCCTAGTTTGGAAGAGGGACCAGTCCTGAGGACAGCTGTTTCCCACTTCCCAGCACTGGGAACTGGAGGACCAGGGTGGCCAGGCTTCCAGGAGGCAGAGAACCGCTGGCAAATTCTTACTCTGGATGAC